TTGAATATAGCCAAAATCTCTTAATGATATACCTTGGAATATAAATTTATACTTTAATAGATAATGAAAGGGTCATATGAATTTGCATTCATTTCTTTTTTCTTCCATATTTAAACATATTTTTGTTATTTCTTTGGGAATTTCACATGATACACCCCCATCACACTAATTTCCCATTTCCTTCATATACACCCTTCCTCCTTGCAATGATCTCCCAAAAAATAAAATAAAAAAATATTAATAAAAAATACAAAAGTCTTTTTTACTCCCTCATCTTTCCCTCCTTTCTATCAGTTTTCATTTGTTTTAATGGCATTGGAATTTGTGACACATAAAAAGGCATGCAGTATACCTTTTATTTTTTCTAAACAGTTTTACTTGCAAATAATCTTTGGTCTGGTTCAAGGGCTCTTATTTCTGTTGACTCACCAATACATTACTCTCACTGAAACTTCTTTCAGACATCCTAATGCTGCCTCATATCATGAAGATCCTATGGCTTTAATTTCACAACATCAGTGCCTTAACATGCTCTAGTCATACATAGGGTAGGTGTTTAGATAGACAATCTCAAAGTACTTGATATTGGCCTGGGTGGTAGCTGAGTTGGGACCACCACTCTCAGGGTAGTGATAGAACCAGATTTCCCATGTATGCAGAGAAGGATGAGACCAGTTCTTCTGTGTTCAGTGCCTACTCTTCCATATGTGGAGGACTGCCTCTCCCTGGGCCTGCCAGTGGTAAAACTCTCTTGGGAGGTATGGGTCTAGCTTTCTTTCTGTGGCAGTCAGCAAGGGTATGGCCATATTTTCAAGGGCCAGTGAAGCCTGGTGTTCAAGGGCCAGTGAAGCCTGGTGTCAGCTCTGCATGACACTCACATTTTAACATGCATGTTTGCATGCCCCTGATTGCTGGGTCCTAATGTCTACCTCAGGGGAGGTGGTGATAAGGTGCAACATCAATGGATACAGACACAGGGAGTGAGGTAGAAGGCTTACAGCACACTTGTCTATTTAACAATGGGGTAAAAACTTATATGCCCTCATAGCACTCATGCATTCTGATCCATTGACAGTTGATATTTCATGTTCATCTCTCATTAACTAGACACAATCAGGACCTCTGACATTACCTGTTGCTAGGCACTCAGGAAATAATACTTGGTCGCTTCTTATTGCCTTGGCATAGACAGGACCTTTAACAGCTCCAAGCAGATTCCAGGTTGGCTCCTTTTGACTTGGTAGGCTTGAACTTCTTACAGCCCCTGATAGTAGCACAGGTCATGGATATCAACACAAATGTTGACTTTGGCAGGCCGTTGACAGACATGCACTTTGGCAGCTCAGGCAAGACAATACCATGGACACAGGTGTCAGTGCAAGCCACCCAGATTTGCATGATACTAAAGGTATCCTAACCCTTGAGTGAAAACATGGTCAAAGGTGGCAGCTCAGATACAGTCATTCTTGTGGCCTATATTTGCAACATAGTCCAGAAACATTAATATAGAACACAACTGCAGTAGTACCAGACACTTAGACATGGTCTATGGCATTATCCTCAAACCTGAATGTTACTATGACCCCAGGTTGCAACATAGGCCACTTAGATTGGTTAGCCCCCAGTGGCAACATGTACTTCAGATGCCAACATGGCCACAGGTGACATCCTGGACTCTGGGCGTCTGAATGTTATTATATGTTAACTGGAATCATGGACATCAAAACAGACCCTGCCTTTTTAAAGCCACAGACTTAGACATAGTCAGTTGCAGCAGTTTGGGCCAAGACATTGCCAATGTCCCTGGAACAATCACAGGTGACTCAGATCAGCATTGTTTCAATGGTGTCACAACCCTACGTATATGTCCTCATTTAAGAAATAAGTCTTCTTCTGTCAACTATTTTGTATTTGTTTCTTTATTGGTGTGGAGATTTGGAGACTGTGATATAAAATGCAGGGGTCGTGCCACCTGCACCAGAGGAGGTTTGAATACTGCCTTGGAATCTAAGAGAAGTTTCATGGAATGCTATGGAACATTTCAGAGTGACAAGTCCTCTGGCCTTTGCTTCTAAGTAGCAAGTGTCACATACCTTGTGGTTTGTGGTTTGCGGAAGTGGCTGCCCTGAGGCCGCAGTTTCAGCTTGAAGCGGCTGTTCTGCTAACTGTAGGAAGTCTTAGAATAGATTGGGACAGTGAGATAATGTCTCTGTAGACCCTTGTTTAAAATAGGCTAGGATGTCTTGTAAGCCCCCAGACCATCCTTGCTATGTTAAACTGCTTTGTGTGCATAATCCAAATAAGTTCTTGGTGAACTCATGATCTATAGTTCCTCTTTTTGATAAAACTGTTGATTGAAGCAGTTGATTCCAAAGTGCTTAAAAGGATGGCTTAATAAATGCACAGCATGCAGTTGCAAATGCTGTTTTCGCTCTGCATCCCCTGTGTCCTGGTTTATTCGCTACACTTACCTAGGGACCCCAACGCACTAGACGTCGACAATTAGTACTACCTTTTAGCTTGTTTTGTTGTAAAGAGCAATTACTGTAATATAGATGTTAATACATCGTTTGTTGAAATAAAACAACTAATTTCTAAAATAAAACTTTGGATATTTCAAAGATAATACTTTATTGATATTCTCTAACTATTTTATTTTCAATTTATGATTTGTCCCTAAATTTAATATGCCCCAAATTTCAAGCACAAAGGCTTATAAAAAAACCAAATTAATAAAATTAGAGATAAAATGGAGAATATTAAAAGAAATACCAATGAGATGTACAAAATCACAAGGACATACTTCTCATATTAATATTTTACAGGATTTTATAACTAATTTAGTATTATTTCTTACTTAGTTTTTCTCTGAATATTTGGTATTTTTCTTACTTTGCCATTAAAAACAATCTACTTTATGAAATTTATCATGCTGGAATTTGTGATCAATTTTGTTCAAAAGAATGGAAAAATGTTTATTTTAAATCGGGATCTTGGATTATTCACTGTTTCACTATGATCCATTTACTCGCCTTTTCTTTCTGGAATTTATATTTTCTTATCCATAATGGAAAGGCTTTAAAAATTCATTTCACAGGTTTAATTTGTCTAGCTTTATCTTGTGAAGGTTTTGTTCAGGCAATGTCAACCTCTGTCAGTTTATTGTACATTTATGGCTGCTAGGAGAGCAAAAAGATGGTATTTCTTCAAAAATACCATCCAAAATAGGATACCCATGTTCCTGTAAGTGACCCCATACTAATGCATATGCTGGCAGAATTAATTGTATAAATGTCCTTATGCTACAAACATGTTTGAAAAATTTTTATTTTATATTGTGAAGCATTAGTCTTTAAGGTACATAAATCATTAATAATTAAATGTTAGTTATCACCAATGTTTCCCATAAGAGTTATGTTCTCTGGATGCACAGAGAGATATTCTATGTATATAGACAGTTTTAAACACTTCAAATACATAAAAATATAGCATTTAAATTGAAAGAGCACACCGAGGGTGTCTTACCCAAGAACCAGATCCGAGCCACTGGATGCAAGAACAAGAGGCAACTTTTATTGTTCAAAGGCCTGTGGGTGCTGCAGTCACATGGAGAACTGAACACCCCGGGCTGCGTTTTTGGGGTAGTTTTTATAGGGTTTGGGGTAGGCAGAAGGAAGGTACAGAAATAGAAACATGGTTACAGGGATCTCATTGGCCAGTTTGAATGAGGCGAGGGGTGAATTTGAGGGCAGGTCCCATGGTCCTTGGCCTGGATCAAAGAAACCAGATAACTGACCTGACCCTATCTTAACGTATATATGGTTGTCTTTGAAGTTTTTGTTCCCATCCCAGGCCAGAAGTCTGATCATAAATCTCCTGTCCTGCAGCCTGATAAGGCTGTCCTGGATATCCTGCCAGATGTCTGACCATAAATCCCCTGTCCTGCAGCCCGATGAGGCTGTCCTCATTCTGACCTCAGGTATCCTGCTTTGCTCAGCATTCCGGGGACCTTTCCCTGAACTGAGCTTGTTTGTCGTGAACCTTTGCAAAACGACATAACTGTAGCTAAAGCCGAGTTGGAGTCTTTCAAAATGTGTTAACAATTTAGAATTCTGTTGAAGTGTGACACAAATGCTCCAGGCAACACCAATCTACACCCAAAGGAACAATGGGCACTGAAGAAACAAAATATGGAGATCGTTTTCTTTTTACCAATTCTGGCCTAGTGGGGAAAGAACTCCACTAACTTCAACTTCTGACAGTAAGCAAGCTGTACAATCTGGTCAAGTAGGAAACAAGGATATACAACTACTGAAACATACTAAGACATGGTAGGAGAGTCTTTCAAATTTTCCTGCTTCTGAAAATCGTCTGAACAGATATTCTTGGCCTATAGCCAAAGTTGGTTTTTACAATGTTGCAGAGAGTCTTTGGGTTACTATCTAGTTAGATTCTTTTATTTCTTGCATGTTTTGGAAGTTACTTGCTTCCACTTCCTGCTTTCTCATGTCTTTGATGGGGTTGAATACTAGATAATCACAATTATTATCCTCTCATATCTTAGCTAAGACATTTTAGGTACAAGTCATAGACTCTTAAGGATAGGATGTATACCACAATAATCTGTTATCTGCCGATTACATATAGCCTAGACATTTGGTATGTGTTTCTTGCTTGATGTTGTTCATGTTTGTTGTAGTTTCATTTTTTGTTTACGGTATTATCCTTTATTTCTCCTGTAAACACTTTGTATTTGTTATTATTGTATATAGTTTTGTATTTGATAAGAACCTTCTAATTTAGACAGAAGAGGGAAGGGTTGTGGAAATTTACTCCAACAATAGTTTTTGGTTACCAGGCTTAAGGCATGGCTTCAAGTCTGTGGATGTGATCCTTAAAAGGAAAGAGACAAAGGTCATGCACTGCCTCAGGCTATAAAGACCAGATGAGTGATTATGAAGCAGCGTTTGGCAAGTTGCCAGCTGAAGGATATTTAGACTAAGAATACAGAATGCTTCATGAAATGTTTGTCATCCTTGTGCAGGGCCTTTGATAATCTTCTCTGCATTGTTACAATTTTAGTATATATGTGGCCAAAATGAACACTATATAAAAATTTTTGTTGATATACTACAATTTTCTTGCCCACTTAATTTGTGATATGAAATTGCATGTTTTTAAAATGTTCTGTTACATGCCAAGTATTGTAATTATTGTTCTTGACCATGTATCACATTTCTTTGAACCACATATAGGAGTAAGTTTAATGGAATATGCAGAAAATAACAGGACATCTATTGTGCACCTATGTTAATGGACATGAAGTAAAGCCTTAGAGACAATTAATATGAGTCTTGGAAGAATACTTCTCCTAGACTATTAGGGTCAGTGGCAGGAAGAGTTGACTCATATACCTACTTCCCCCAAAACAGTGTTTAGGTCACTTTAAAATTGTCTGTGAGGTTTGGGTTATAGTTTAGGCTTTCTAATCTGCTTATCTTAGATTAGAGTTGTAAATTGTAAAATCACTTTATGGTGGGATAGAATTGCTCTTCTTTGAAGCAATAGCCATATTACTCATACTGTAGTCATCTTCACTCTCTATTCAAGTGTTGCCCTGTTATTTATGCAACAAGAACAATGTCAAGCTGTGACACTTGGCTTCTTTCCCTTTTGGTAAATAAGTAATAAGTAATCTGGGTCTAATATAGCTCATATATTTACTGATCAAATTAGCTTTTTCTTGTCTTCTTTTATAAGTATACTTTACAGTCTAAGGCATGTGCCACATTTTATTAGTCAATGCTATTTTCAAAATGGAATGCACTATACTATAATGTATTATACTATACTATAGTTAGTATAAGATTTTTTAGTTGACAAATAGTTTCTATATGTGTCAGTTTTGCTTTCTTTATTTCTGTTTAAAGTATGTGGCTTTAGATTCATTATGTCACCAAGATACTTCTGCACATAAAATTATAACTTAAACATGAATGTTAATACAATAATGTTTTTCTTATTTCAAATTACATATTTCACACCATTGTTTAAAAAACAGGCTAACACTCAAGAGGGAAACAGGAATAAGAGGGATTGAAACCACAGTCAGCCATATGAGATTATTCAAAAACAATGTTCAATAATTGTGCCTAGTAGATGAATGTTTTCTCAGAATTCAGTGGTTGGTCTCCACCATAGCAATTTAAATCTAAATTATTACTTTTGAAAATTAGGTCATGTACATGCGTTTTATTTATTAAATTATACTAGTCAGACATATATTGTTTTAAATATCATGCTTAGGAGTTCTAACTAGAATATATCATGAGGCTATAATGTCTTTATAAAATATGTTCTTTCATTGCTTTTAAATTGAGTTTTAAATGTATATCAAGTATTAATATTTTTTGTTTTGATAATATTAAGGCATCATTAATTGAAGTTAGATATTTTCAGAAGTTTGTTCTTAAATTCTTCAGGAATATGAGGGCATGATCAAATGTGAAATACTACATTTATTAATTATCGTAATAATTAATTTTACAATGAATATACAATGTCAATATTGGTGGGAAATTTCTATTTATTCCTGTTTGTGATGAAACATTGCAGGGAATATTTCCAGCAATATTACCCAGAAATAAAGAAGGCAATTTTTCTTGTAATATACTTTAAGATATCAGGTCTACTTCTACTATTGTCTTTCATGGTGGGTATATAAACCTCTTATTTGAAATGACTGTCACAATGGACTTCTTTCCTATATCACCTTGCAAAACACTCAAAGTTATTTGAGACTCTAAGCAATGAAACTTTGTTTACTAGATTTAGCAAAATTCATCTAATCTAAAGTGGTTTAATTCTCTGTTTGAGACAATTGGTTAAATTTTACTTTTTGGCTATAACATATTACTTATGCTTCAAATTGACTACTAGATCTTTTTGTCAGTGGAATAAGACAGAAGTGTTTGTCTGCCATACTATGTTAAATATTAACTACATATATATCATTATGAAAACATGACTTTATGTACATAAATCATAATTTACAAGTGATAGTTTAAGTAAAAGTGCCCCCATTGGATCATAGAGAATGGCAAATTAGGAGGTGTGGCTTTATTATTGCAGGAGCGGCCTTGTTGGAGAATATAAACCTTTGGGGATGGCATTTTAGGTATCAGAAGCTCAAGTCAGGTGCAGATGATTACCCTATCTTCCTGCTGCTTGAAGATCCTGAAGATCCTGATATAGCACTCTCAGCACTTCTCCAGCACTATATCTGCCTGCATGCCATCATGCTTCCTATCATGCTGATAATGGACTAAACTTCTGAACTGTAAACCAGTCCCAATAAAGTGTTTTCCTATGTAAGAGTTGCCATGGACATGGTGTCTCTTCACAGAAATACAAAATTTTAACAAAGGCAGAATTTAATTCTATAAATTGCAGTATTTCTGTGATAGGACTGATCACATTTTGATTAAAGGAATATGGACTTTCAGGGTTTGGAAAGCAGTGGAATGTTTTAAGCATGACTTCATAGATCACATTAGTAGGAGGATGAAAGACAGTGGTACTGAGATTTATTTGAACTTTGAGGTTCTGGTTAAGGATGTTTCAGAGGAGAAAAAATTTAGTATGTTTTCTTGAGAACATTCTTGTGATATATTGGTGAAGAACATAGCTTTTACCCTTGTTAAAAAAAATGCATGCGACTAAGTTGAAATGTTATAAATTAACTAATTTGGGTGTTAATTGACTGTTACTTAGTTATTAAGGCCAGTGTTATGCATATCTATAAGTAAAAGGAGCAATCTGAGCAAGAAAATGTGCAAAATATACAGTTTGATGAGAATGGAGGAAAGGAAACTTTTAAAGAAAAGCCCGACACTAAATGAAATAAAGGTGTGATGACCTTAGGGCAAGACTCTACATGGCTAAGCTTTTAACTTGTGTAAAATATTAAAGAAAAGCTTAGTTCTAAGCATGCTAATACACACCATTGATCCCAGCACTCAGGAAGCAGAGGCAAATAAATGTCAGAGTGCAAAGCTAGCCTGATCTACAAAGCAAGTTCCATGACAACCAAGATTAGACAGTGAAGGAAATCATCAAAAACAGAAAACTGGTGAAGATGAAATTGAACGTGGGCACCCAATTGGCAATAGAACATGGCAGCTTCAGAGTCAAGGATAGAATAAATAGTCATGGAATCTCCCTCTGTGTCTAAGTAAAGTTGCCTTTGAGAACAGGTTTGTTTCAAGGATGTCCCTGCATGGACTCCTAGCATTGTCATTATATGCAGCTGTGAAGGTGAATCCTGGACTGCCTTGGATACTTGAAGATGTTGGAGATACCAGAGCCAAAGGATACCTTCCAAGGAAAGTTGTTAACAAAAAGTGAAACGAGCCCATGAAATAAAAAATTGCTGCAGTCAACAAAGCCAAAAGGAGTTAAAGATCTGAAGAGTTCTTTGGCATCAGGCATGAAGATAATTTGAAGTTTATCCAGCTGGTTTTCAGTTTTGCTTCCTCACTATCATAATGTTTATGTATATACTGTGCCATGTTGTAAGTATGTGATATGCTTTTCATTTTGATTTTACAGAGGATTATATTTAAGTGAGTGCATGCATATGAGAGACTTCGAACTACATAATTTTAAACAAGTTTGAGACTTATATGGGGATATTTAAGTTGGATTAAATTTGTTTTGCATTGTTATGGCTAAATGTCTATTGGGATCAGGAAGAGGAATACGTTGGTTTGAATAAAAATGCTCCCCATAGGCCCGTAGAGAATTGCACTATAAGGAGATAGTTCTTATTGCAGCAGTGGCTTTTGGGAGAAAGTGTGTCATTGAGGGTAAATTTTGAGGTTTCAGATGATTAAGTCAGGAATTGTGGCTCAAGGACTCTTACTGCCACCTGTGTATATAGATGTAGAACTCTCAGTTCCTCTCTGTCACCATTTTTGCTTCCATGCTTCTATGGTGCTCACCATGTTGATAATGGACTAATGCTCTGAACTGCAAACTAGTCCCTTTGTTATAATTGTTGTTGTCTTGGTATCTCTTCACGGCAATATAAATCCCTAATTAAGAAACATGTTATTCAAGAAATAGTTAAAATTATTAATGAACTGCAATAACTTGAATAATATAAATAATTCCATACTTTTTAAAATTTTATTTTCTTTCTTTTTCAACTTTATTTTTTATTACATATCATTGGTGACCACACAGTCTTGAAGAGGTCTGGTTCTAGAGATACAGGAAGTTAGTTGTGAACCACCTGACATGAAGAAAATTAAGTTGGGTCACGTAGAAAAATACTGTATGATTTAACCATCAAGACAATTTTCTATCCTCTTGATTTTTTCCTTTTAATACTGATCAATACATATCAAATGAACAAAAATAATTAAATAAAGCTCCATGTAGACTTTTGGGACTTATCCTATGTAAATCAGATTCATATTCTATTTTATATTCTTAGATTTATGCATACAATATTTAGGAATTTGGTATCTGAAGTAATTTTCATTTTTATACTGTTGAAATATCATGCCTATCAAACTACTTAAACATGTAGCTACCTATTAAATATTTTTATGATAATGTAGTTGTTTTCTAAAGAAACTCAATATTTATTTACTCATGTTAATTAAACATCAATTTAACTTTTTATTAAGTAAAATATTTGGCTATACATATTTAAATAATTTTTCTTATTTATTATGTTTCAGATATTTTTCATTAAAAATCATTTTATTTTGGCTGTATGATTAAACAGTAAGTTTAGAATTATTACAAACTTTATACTTTTACATTGAGTTTCATCTGTCAAACAATGTTTGCATATGGTAAATAGTTTTTTATTTATGACTTACTTATTAATTAACTAATTAATTAATTTGTTTGTTTATTTATTTATTATTTGGTTAGAACATCCAGTTCACCCGTGCATGTTCTGGGAAGCCCCATTCCTTTCTTTCTTTCTCTCTGAACCTCACTTGCTCAAAATATTAAAAAAGATGGAAGATACCAAACAGGCCAGTTCTACACTCTTGGCGGCTACTGCAACTTCTTCCCTTGAAGTTGCC